GCTGATTCAAACGCTTTTATAACGTTTTCGTCTCTGAAACTATAAAACATTTCAGGATTAAATTAACTAATTCGTATTTTTTATTATTTCTTTCTCCAGGTAACAAAATAAATTCACAAACAGACCTCCAGTTATGAATAAGTTTTTTTATAAGGTAAGTTATATTCCTGTCTTCCATTATATTACTTATATTTGTGTAACTCGATAAGAACACGTATTTGAACGTGAACGGTTTAATTTTAACCACATAACTTCTCTCGCTGTAATTTAGTTGAATAGAAACAAAAAGCTGTACGGCTCAGGCTTTTTTCTTAATCTATTGAATCAATGGAGGAAACGGACAGTACTAACAACTTTTAACGGCGCTTTGCAAAGCAGGGAGTTAAATCGAATGTGATACACGCTGTAAGTGGCAATTAATTTCTAAATTTCTTTTTTGCAGCATTTAATTCTTATGTGACTGAACGTATTTTCTGAACAATGGAGTAGTGGGTTGGAATGTATCCGTGATTTCTCATGAAATTACGCATTGCTTGTTTATTGAATATGGAGAGTGTTTGTGAATTTCTTTATTCAGGCAGCATATTTGAAAAAAGTTAACAGACATCGTAACATCAAGTGAATCGATTCTGCAAATCGGACATCTTGTTAACTTGATCTTTTTTCTTTGTTTTCAGCTCTGCTGCTCCTGATCCTCAGCGCTCCGACGATCAAGTTTCCAGCTCCACTCCAGCAACTCGTCGTGCGTTGGCAAGTTATTCTTGACGTCTGCTTTTTCTTAAATTTTGTTTTTGACACCAATTACTTTATCTATAATGTACCAATTCAGTGCTTGCATCTTGCCCTTAGCCTGCATGTTCCCTGCGTTCTGTAATAATCCATTCTGCAAGTCCCGTGTTTTGTTAACTTGATCTTTTTTCTTTTGCATTCAGTTCTGCGGCTCCTGATCCTCGGCGCTCCGTCGATCTCATCTCCAGCTCCACTCCAGCAACTCGTCGTGCATTGGCAAGTTATTGTTGACAATGTGTGCTTTTCCTAAAATTTTATTTTTGACAACAGTGACTGTAATGTACAGATTCAGTGATGTATCTTGACCTTAATGTTGTTAAACTGTTCCCTGT